GGTGGGGTTGGGGCAGGGTGATAGCTATGATGACGACAGTAGTGACATAATGGTTGGTAGGGTGTGGGTGGGGCGATATGTGGGATGGTCCAAACAAAGACGATTGTTCCAATTCTATTGAGAGATTTCATTCCAATTCCTACCAATCAAATGCATGGTCAAATTCCATCAAATTTCATTCCAATTTCTTCAAAGTCAAATTCCTTTGATGGATTCCAATTCCATCAAATTCCATTATATGAACCAAACACCTCATAATTCTTTCTATCAAGAGGAAAACCTATCAACGCGAAAAAAAATTGTAAGGGTTATTTGGATTGCACCTGAAAAAATGCAATTTATGTATGATGATTATATCGAATATTTGTCAACCATGTATTTAGGTGTTCATAATTATAGTAATCGGGGTGAGTTCAAATGAAAACAAGAAATGTGTTTATTTGGATTGCACCAGATATTTTTTAGTATAAAGTAGTTGTTTTAATGTAGGTGCTACAAAATTTTGGTAGGTTTTAGTAGGAGGGCGTATGGATAGAATTTATCGTATTATATTCATGATGACCACTTGGACGCAAGAAATTTATCCCGTTCATGATGACCATATCGCCAAGCTCAGCTTTCTACTATGAGTCCGGCTTCCAAATATTTAGGGCACACTAATAATTAAGCGCGTGCAACGTCTTGTTTTTCTCCCTCTTTCAACAGTCGAGTGAGCGGATGTGCGGGACCACCCCTGCTCTAAGACCAGTGCTCGAGTAAGCATGGTGATCATATTGGTATCACAGACAAGGACCTGTGTAGAGTTGGATTCTAGGACGACGGATATTATGGAGATAAACTCATGTAGGGTTAGTCTCTGATTTTGCATAATAAAACAGACCGGAGTCCAAACTAAAAGCCATGTCGCATGATAATGTCGCAAAGACCAATTTCGCAGGCACATATAAGACATAGTTGTTGCATATTACAACTAAAATGTAGACCCAATAATAACATCAAAATTGCTCCACTTTGAGAATGCAAATAAACAATTTCTCCAAGTTAAGAACTTTGATTTCTAATACATATATATGCCTTCAACCATTCAATAAAGAAACATGGAGACAAAAACCCCATGATTGTATGGTCCTTCAAAGCTTTTAATCATAATATGGATTATAATATAAGATTCAAAATTATAAACTATTATGCAAATAAAAAATCAAATTTAGTAAAGCTAAAATTTCAAGATTCTAAGATGATATAAAAGAACCTTATTTTCATATCGCTGATTAAGGGCTTTTTATTTCCAGTCCTATCTATAAGGAATGTAATTAAAAAATCAAATAAATGTAATAAAATAACGTTTAAATCATTTAGAAGTTCGAAAAATGATATCATTTGTCCTCTTTTTGTCTCTCTCTCTCTTACTTTTTTTTTTTTAGTTTTTTCATTAATAGATAATAATTATTATATATTGTTATAATATAATAAATATATATAGAAGA